AAATTCTCCCAAAAAAAAAAAAAAAAAAAAAAAGGAAAGTTATCCCTGGATGAATCTGGTGTTTCCATTTAATAGAACATTATCCAGCCTTTTAGAAGGAAGACTCTCTTGTCACATGCTATGGGATAAACCTTTAGGACATTATTTTAAATGACATAAGCCAGCCACAAACCAAACTGCTTTGTTCCACTTGTCTGAAATAGAAAGTAGAATAGTGGCTCCTGGGAGCAGAGGGGAGGGAGGAGAGGGAGCTGAGAAGTGCGTATAGAGTTCCAGATTTACAGGATAAAACGTTCTGGAGATCTGTTTCAGTGATGTGAACACATTTCACGCTACTGAAATGGACATTTAAAAGGTTACGATAGGAACCAGCGAAGTGCTTGAATGCTTCTTTGTGAATATACATTCTAATAAAAATCTATAAATTGTCAACAAAGCATAATGCAAAGTGTAACACATTTCAGCCCAGAATTTAGTACCCTGTGACAAGCTTGTGATTTCTACTGAATGCTTTCCATGGGGAGGGATAGCCAAAGAGAGCCGTCATTGTAAATGTAACTCATTATTAAAATATTTTTCTCAGCAATATGAGGCACAGTCTATAAAGTGATCTTTTTCTGAATTTGTCTGTATTCAACTGATTCTTAATGCAATGGCATTGATATAAATAAAGAACTTACATCTTGTTGATTTCTTTGGACTCTGTGAAGGCACTGGCTGGTCTTCAGTGTGTGAAAGAGGAAGTTCTGACCCTTCTTGAGAGACCCAGCCTTGGGGGATGGAAGAAAGAATTATTTCATTGTCAAGCAAGTTAGAAAGTAGCATCAGAAAAATAAAAAAAGTTAATAAGTTACTGTACCAGGATAAAATACTACAGCAAAAGAGGGAAAAAAACTGAAAATTTATTTATAGTTATCTATTTTATTTAATCATTTAAGTTTAGTCACATCTAGCATTAGACATCCTCAAATTTTTCTAAGTGGTTCTGAAATAAATATATAGGCTTTGGACTAACCCTGCAGCCTAGCAGTTCAGGGAGCCAAATCCCACATGACTGACTGCAGCGTGAATCATGACCCATCACATGAGAAACATGCCAGCTGCATGCATGTGTGCCCCAGATCCCAGCAGGATGGAAAGGTGAACGAGAAGGGATTGTGATGGGACCGTGCCAAGAGAGGGTACTTCCCCCTCTCCCTGTCTCTGGTGAGAGCACATGCCTTCTTGTAATTTTAAATGTGTGTTTGTGTTTATTTAAAAAAAAAATTACAAAGGGAGAAGGTAAAGAAAGAAGAGGAGTCCGGAAGAAAGGGAATGGGCCTGAGGATCAGAATGTTGAAACCTTCGAATATTTGTACCACTGGACTTATAATGCCATTCCCAGAAATTTATCTTAAAGTAATTTACACCCAGCCGGCGGTGCAGTCAGTAGCAAACTACACTCATTGTCTGAAGCCAAGTGACTGTAAGAGTTTGGATCCCTGGGCTGGTCTGAAAACACAGGGCCCTTGCCTAAGACTCTGAGGAGCTGGAGGGCTGGGGAAAGGAACTGGTGTATGGCGGGCCCTCGAGAGGGACTCTGCGCTCGCTCCCCTTCTCTCGTGTGTGCATGCGCATGTTCTCGTGATGAATAAAATCATGTTTTTCAAGTGTCCCATTGGAGGGACCAGCAGATGGTGTAATGGTTACATCTCTGGATTCCCACATAGTTGACTACTGCTCAAGTCCCAGACCTGGTGACTTTGGACTCACACTGGGCACATGTGCGTGAGTGCCCAAGATCCCGAGAGGAGAATGAAGATGGGATTGTGGCATGGCCATTCCCTCTGGGGGGGTGATTTCTCATTTTCTGTCTCCCCAGTGAGCACATGAGCCCTGTAGCAAAAATCTCTCTCAAAAACAAACAAAAAAAAGATTTAACTGAAGGAAAAAGTTTATTGTGTTTATCTGTAATGATAAACAGTAGAAACAATAGGAAAGAAATTAAGCAGATCGTGGTGTATAAAGTGAAAAAATGCTTTGTAATCCAAAAGTTTCATTAGGAATACCATATGGATACACAGGGAAATGATATATAGCTTGAATTTATGCTATAATTAAAACAGCACTAGAAAGGAATTTAAATTACCCTGCCTCATCCCTTCTTTGTATAGAAGAGGTTATTTGAAGCGCAAGTAAAATGGGGTTGCTAGAACGCAGATCCTTTAACTCTCAGAGAAGCTAACCTTCCAGTTTATCTCACAGGACAAAAGAAGGAGCAGACATGGGGCCAGCAGGTGGTGTGGTGACAGAGGCCCTGGACTCCCATGTGGCCCACTACAGTTTGAGTTCCAAACATTGTGGCTTGCTTTCTCACACTCTCTCTCTGTTTCTCTCTGGTGAGCACACATGCCCTACAGCAAACTAAAACTAATAATATAATAATAAATAACTCTTAAGAAAAAAAAGGAGTATACATACAGGAAACATTGGCGAGGAAGAGTTCTGTACTTGGAAGCACGAGATCAGATTTTGGTCCCCTTTTAACCAAACTACCCGAGCACCATAAAAACATCACTCATCTCTGGGGACTTTGCCTCAGCTACTCAGTAGGAATGTCCTGTCCACCTGCAGGCAGAGGTTTTTGCCTTAGGGCATGTGCACTCACCAGAGAGAGACAGAGACGGTGAGATGAAAAGTGAGAAATCACCCTCCAGAGGGGATGGCCACACTGCAATCCCTTTTCTGTTCTTCTCCCAGGATCTTGGGCAGGCATGCACATGTGCCCTGTGTGATTTTTTTAAAGCCAGCAGATCCGAGACTCGAATCACGGTCAGCCATGTAACCACTACACCATCTGCTGGCCCCTTAAATGTTTTGAGTGGTGCAAATATACAAGGGGACTTCACAACAATCATGGGAAAATGTAAAAATTTATTTGGGTGCAAAAAAATTTGAAATTCATGCATAGTTTTTTGTAATATATATTTCCATGAACTTTTTTTTTTTAAGACAGGTTTTTGCTATAGGGTGTTTGTGATGGCTGGAAAGATAGAGGGGGACAGAGAGATAGAAAGTGAGAAATCACCTCCCAGGGGTGATGGCCACGCCGCAATCCCTTCTCCTCCAGTCTCCTCTTGGGATCTTGGGCACACATGGTTGGCATGAGTTTAAGCCACTGAGTCCAGGACTTGGAACTGTGGTCAACTACATGGCATAACCATTACACCATCTGCTGGTCCCTCCATGAACTTTCTGAAGACTCTGTGTATTACTGATATTGTATTGCCAGAAACTAAGAGGAAAAATCCAGTGCTGCAAGAGATGTGGCAAGTTGCAAAAGGTGTAGGGGCTCACAGCGGAGAATGCATCAGTTTGTAAGTCCTCGTAACTACTGTGCCAGTGATATACCATGGAAAAATAAGTACGTTAGAGGATTTCACTATAACACCTGACTTGTTCCAGATAGAGTGCCTCTTTATCAGATAGTACTGTCCAGGCTTCTTCAGGCTATTCAATACATCCTTCCTGGTCACTTACGTGGCTGGTATTTGCTTTTTTTGAGCTAACTTTATGGTGCTGTCTATGCACCTAGCACACATCATGCCCTCAGGATGCTTGTAGATCAAGTATGGATGTAAGTCTGGCTGTTTTTTAGAAAGATTTTTGCTATAGGGTACGTGCGTTTCTAGAGACAGAGAGAGAGAGAAAGTGAGAAATCATCCCCTGGGGGATGGCCATGCTACAGTCCCTTCTCCTCCATTCTCCTCTCAGGATTCTGGGCACACACACATATGCCCAGCATGAGTTTTAAGCTGCCAGGTCTGGGACTCAAATCTCAGTGGACCATGTGGGAATCCAGTGCCTTAACCACCATGCCACCTGCTGGCGCACGTACAAGGCATTGAGACACTGCTAGGTGTCATGAGGGTTTTTTCCTAGAGGTTAAAATTCACTAGGGGGTGAGAGAAGGATCTAAGGCCAGATAGATGATGACGTTTCTAGAGACAGAGAGAGAGAGAAAGTGAGAAATCATCCCCTGGGGGATGGCCATGCTACAGTCCCTTCTCCTCCATTCTCCTCTCAGGATTCTGGGCACACACACATATGCCCAGCATGAGTTTTAAGCTGCCAGGTCTGGGACTCAAATCTCAGTGGACCATGTGGGAATCCAGTGCCTTAACCACCATGCCACCTGCTGGCGCACGTACAAGGCATTGAGACACTGCTAGGTGTCATGAGGGTTTTTTCCTAGAGGTTAAAATTCACTAGGGGGTGAGAGAAGGATCTAAGGCCAGATAGATGATGATTATGGCCATGAAGCAGATGAAGCTCGAGGAGGCTGAAGAGGCAGAAGCCCTTCTCTTTGGCAGTACTGAGGAAGCTCCGAGGGCTGACCGTCCTGGAGCAAACCTCATCTGGGAACCTCCTCTGGCTCTCACCCAGACCCACTGCTCAGCAGCACAAGCAACACAGGCCAAGATGCCTTGGAAGCCTCTAGAAGTACTCAGTGTGGTCACAGAAAGGTGAACCCTTTGCAGTCAGGCTGGAGGTCGGGTGCAGATGCTGACAGAGGCAGGCTTATGGGGCAGGGGTAGGGGGACTTTGAAGATGAGAACAGATGCTGACATCAGTTCTGCTTCCTGGAGAGAGAGAGCTGAGCCATAGGGGTAGAACTGGGTTTGGAGGCTGGGAGCAACAACTCGAGGAACCCACTGAGGCTCTAAATGGCTCTGGTAGTGAAGGCAGAGGAGGATGGGGAATTTGAGACATATTTCAGAAACAGACTCAACAGGACTTGGGAATCAATGTGGATGTGGAGGGAGTCAGTGAAGAAAATGTGGGGTTCGGGGAGGTGGCAGGGAAGGTCTCATGTCAGTGTGTTGACAGTGGTAATTTATCTGATATTTTTCTAGATGACTGGGATGACTGTGAATTTTATCTACTAGCATGGATGTTAAAGTCAATCTGGTTGATTCTAACATCAAAAAGCACAGACTTGGGGACCAGGAGATGGCATTGAGGTTAAGGCATGGGATCCCACAAGGCTGACCATGCAGTTCTAGTCCTGGATCTGGCGGCTTGAATAGTCACACGGGGTGCGTGTGCATGCACAACGGAGGAGGAGGAACTGCAGAGGACAACAGAGGAGTAGGGACTGCAGCATGGCCAGCTCCCAGATTTCTCACTTTCCCCCTCGGTCTGTCTGTCTCTGACAAGCATAGACACCCTACAGTAAACAAACAAACAAAAAACAAAACCCAGAAACAAAATCATAGCTTTGCTTCACAAAGATAAAGTAAGATACCCGTGTCCAGATGTTTTTAGGTACTTACTGTTGAAAGCTCCCGCAGCGTGAAAGCCGAGATCAAATAGCTGTGAAGGAAGGAACTGAGAGGAGTGAGCAAGAGGCTCGGGCGCCACACCGGCCTCCTGGGAAGTGAGGCTGGCACTGGGGCTCCCGCAGGCAGTCGGGCATTCTTGGGTAAATTCACTGGCACTGGAAGAGCCAGGACTTAGGAGGTTGTTCAGAAATGAGAATTCCTTCTCAAAATCTTCTCCTTCCAATGAATCCACAGGCAGATCTTTTGTAACTGTTGAGTGAAAATAACACAGAAAGGCTTTTTATCTTTTTGAGGAAATGAAAATAGGATATAGGATGTGTCACATTTGTTTCACTGCCTTTATACTGTATTAACGTAATTTTTTTGAAAGAGATTTTTGCTATAGGGCGTGTGCACTCGCTGGAGAGACACAGAGAAACAGAGACACAGGAAGTGAGAGATCACCCCGTGGGGGGATGGTAAATGCACATGCGCCTGGCATGAGTTTTAAACTGCAAGGTCCGGGGCTCAAACCGCAGTCGACTACATGGGAGTCCAGCGAGGTAACCATTATGCCATCTACTGGTTCCTATATTAACATAATTTTTAATAAGCAACAAAATTGATTGGAAATCGGGGGAACATTATTTCTAGAGAGCCAGGCGGTGATGCTGTGACAGCAACGTGCTGCAGTTTTGGATCTACACAGGAAGGTCCCAAGTTTGCTTTCTGGGTCCTCCCTGTACACATGGGGGGCACACACACATGTGCCCAAGATTTGGGTTGGCGGAGGCCGGGGGTAGATACCATCATTGGGACCTTGCTGGGGACACCTCTTTATCTCTGTGTGTCTCTCGCAGAAGAAATAAACTTTTTAAAAAAATATTTTGAACTGGGCAGGATTTAGATAAAATGGCCACATTTCACAATGAAGATATAACAGTTACAAATACGTGTGTACAAAATAATCAAGCTACAATCTCTGCGAGGCAGAAACGACAGGAGATGCAAGGAGGAATAAAAACAAATTAATACTAGACTTTTTTCAGTAAAAAGCAGCCCAAGGGAATAAAAGGTAAGTAAAAACGTAAGAGAGATAATCGGCGTAGTCAGTAAGGTAGATACCTGGGATATACACAAGCCCGGACAATGGAAACAATCCTCCTCAAGCACACACTGAACAGTCGTAAGAGCTGATCACCGAGGCATACACACACAGCAAATCGGGAAGGCACAACGGGAGCACAGCTGAACCCGCACCGGCAAGGTCCTGGGCTCTCATCTGGGAACCTCCCTGAGGACTGCAGCCATGTGCAACCCCCCATGAGGAGGGCAGCTTAGACTGAGGTGGATGGTGGCATGAAAGCCCTGTTGGGGATGCCTGTCTTTCACTCATGGAAGAAATAAATAAATTAACAAAAAAATGCTTTAAAAAGAAAATCAAATGAGTTCTTTTCTTTTAGAAATTTTTGCCTTAGGGCACATGTGCTTGCCAGACAGAGAGAGAGAGAGAGAGAGACAGAGATTAGCGACGTAACCACTGCGCCATCTGCTGGCCAATCAAATGAGTTCTTAAAGTGAAGTTATGAAAAACTAGTGGGTCGTCAGAAAAGTCATGACATATTTTTCTGTGCAAAAATGTGTCATGACTTTTGTAATGATCCAATACATGATCTGATTACAATGCAATAAAATAATTAATAAAATCAAAACAACAAAAAGGGCACGTGCGCTCGCCAGACAGAGAGACATAGAGACAGAAAATGAGAAATCTCCCAGAGGGGATGGTCACGCCGCAATCCCTTCTCCTCCATTCTCCTCTCGGGATCTTGGGCACGCATGCACACGTGCCCGGCGTGAGTTTAAGCCACTGGGTCCGGGACTCGAACCGCAGTCGACTACATGGGAGTCCAGCGACATAGCCATTACGTTAACTGCTGGTCCCCACCTATACATTTTTAAACCTATTAAACAACTCTTGGTGGGACAGGCAATAGACTTTCTGAAAAATAACGGATACATTTCAGGACCAGCTGATGGCATGGCAGTTAAGGCAACTGGATCCCATGTGGCTGATTGCACAAGATGAGTCCCAGAACCAGTGGCTTGAAAAATAGCAGGTGTGTGTGCGTGTATGCCCAGATTCAGGAGAGGAGAATGGAGAAGGGATAACTGCATGGCGATGCCCCTGGAAGGGTGATTACTTTCCCTCTGTCTTTCCAGTGGGCGCACATGCCCTATAGCAAATTTTTATTATTATTTTTATTTTATTTTATTCGTCATTATTTTAATGTTTTCAAGTTGACCAGAGAGAGAAAAGGAAAATGAGAAAGCAAGCTGCCAGGTTCAGGACTCAAACCATGGTCAGGCATGTGGGAGTTGACACCTTAACCACCATGCTACCTGCTGGCCCCCTACAGCAAATTTAAAAATATAAGTATCACAAATCCCTGGGATACTTAAATAGCAATGAATAGAGGAAAATTTGTAGCCTTTAAACACTTTTATCAATAAAAATTAAAAGAGAAGGGCTCTGGCATAAATGAGGGATGAAGAGCTTCATAGACCTGCACCCCAGTGTAACTGTTGAAAATTATTTTTTTGAAAATACAGGTATTTAAAGTATCTGGAAATAGTCCCAAGGACAGAAAACAAATGAAGAAACATTTACTCAAGAAAATCTCTAAGAATTCAGGAACAACAGTGAGGGTCTGCTGTAGTTTTTGAACTGAGAACCACTCCTTCTTCACCCTCCCAATTCAGCAAGAACGGAATCCCATTACCAGCCAAGAACAGGGCGCACACCCCCTGCAGCTCTCAGTAAAGCACTATCCTCCAGGGGAGGTGAGATGCCAGCATTTCACCTCCTGCCCCATCTGCCCTCTCTGAGGCTAAGTCCTGGGTGAGCTTGTCAAGAGGTGAACACTCCCTCCTCCCACCAGACTCCATTTGTAACCAGACCCCATTCCTGGAATGGAGACTCAGAGTTGGGAGTGACATACTGAGAATACTAAGACCCTGAGCCTGCTTTTAAAGTGGTAGATTCACGAAAGAGAGGTAAGCCAAAATGACTTCCAGCTACTGTCACCCCTCCTCACCTACCACTCAGCTCACAGAGAGAGGACGTCACACAGAGAGAGAAGCACATCACTGTCCTGGTCACAGCTCGAGCCCTGACTCAAAAGACTTTGGGGGCGGGGGCAGACATAAAACAGTTCCTAATCTTCCAGAGGATTTGACTGCATTTGCAACAGTACAAGAAGTTCAAATCCGAGGACAGTCTGAAAAACAGCCAGACAGTGGTGAAAGGCAGTTCGGAAAACACTAGTAGTTCCACCGGACATGTAGGCTGTACTGTACCCAGTTAGTTTTCATCAAAAGAACAAAGGAGGGACCAGCAGTTAGCATAATGGCTATGTCACTGGACTCCCATGTAGTTGACTGCAGTTCGAGTCCCAGATCCGGTGGCTTAAACTCACGCCAGGCGCGCGTGCGTGCATGCCCAAGATCCCGAGAGGAGAATGGAGAAGGGACTGCAGCGTGGCCATCCCCCCCGGGGGGGGATGATTTCTCGCTTTCTGTCTCTGTCTTTCTGGTGAGCGCACATGCCCTGTAGCAAAAACCTCTCCAAAAAAAAGGAAAAAAACACTCCCAAAAAAAAGAAAAAAAAAAAAAAAAAAAAAGAACAAAAGAAAAAGCCAGCTGGGGTCAGAACAAATTGCAAACACTAAACTTGGGAACTATTCCTTCGAAGGAGTCCAAATTTGACTAGCTTGTTTGTGGAACAATAGATGCTCTGAGCTTTGCTGAAATCAACAACTTAAAAAAAGACTAGAATGTCACAGCAAGGTGTGATCAGGGAGAGACAGAAAAGAGAGCATTGCTAAAACCACTGTTGGGGCCAGCAGGTGGCTTGATGGTTAAGGGCGCTGGACTCCCACATGGCCGACTGTGGTTCGAGTCTCAGACCTGGTGGCTTGCTTTCTCACTTTCCCTCTTCTTTTCTATCTCTTTCTCTCTCCCTCTTTCTGGTGAGTGCATGTGTCTGACAGCAAGTTAGAAAAATATATAAAAAGATCCTACGTCTTTTGGGGGAGCTATTAAATACAGTTAGGTAAAATAATTCTTTAATAAAACAACAACAACAAATACTACCAGTCATCCCAGGGTGACTCGGGGGGCAAACCTAGGCCTCTGAGGAGTCCAAGTTGGGGCAGGGAGTAGGGAAGATAAAGAATAGGGTCCCTTAAAATAATCTAGTCTGGGGGCAGGCAGGTGGCATAGTGGTTAAAGGTGCTAGACTCCCACTTGGCCGACCACGGATCAAGTCCTGGACCTGGCAGTTTGCTTTATCACTTTCCCCCTCTCTCTCTTTCTCTGTCTCTCTCTGATCAAACTGAAAAATAATAATAAATAAAGTTAAACAAAATAAATTTTAAAAAATAATAATCTAGTCTGTCACTAACCAAATAAGCAAATAAACCTGGGGCAGGGGGCAGGGGATATAGGGAGACCAGTACTCAAAGGTATTAAAATGTATTAGGTAAAATGTCTAATGTCCAACAAAAAATTGTGAGGCAATCAAAGAACTAGGAAAGTGCAACCCGTACACTGGCAGGAAGACAGGTGAGAGAAACTGCATGCGACAGTGAGCAGATGAAAAACAGCAGCAGCCTTTACAAATCTACATAAAGAACTAAAGGAAACCATGATTGAGGAAGCAAAGGAAGGTATAATGGCAACATTGCATCAGATAGAGAACATTTGTTAAAGAGATGGAAATCATAAGAATTAAATGCAAAATATAAAATAACTGAAATAAAAAGTTCACTACAGGGGCACAACAGATCTGACGAGCAAAAGAATGATTTATGTTGAAGAAAAAGTGAAAAGATTATATTATACAATCCAATGAAGGGAGAGAGAAAAAAAAATAATAAAAATAAAAAAAAAAAAAACCAAGAAGGGACAAGCAGTTAGCGTAATGGCTATGTGGCTGGACTTCCATGTAGTTGGCCATGGCTCAAGTCCTGGACCTGGTGGCTTAAAACTCACGCTGGGCATGTGTGCGTGCATGCCCAAAATCCCGAGAGGAGAATGGAGGAGAAGAGATTACGGTGTGACCATTCCCACTGGGGGGTGATTTCTCGCTTTCTGTCTCTCTGTCTGGTGAGCGCACGTGCCCTATGGCAAAAACTTCTCAAAAACACATACAAGAAAAGTGTTGAGACTACATCAAGAATACCAGGCCAGCAGGTGGTGTGGTGGTG